TCTGGAGTGGTTCGGACCACTTCCTGCTGCCTCTGGTTCTGCTTGTCTTTGTGCCCTGCACCTTTTTGTAGTCAATCCGTGGGTACACCACTAGCTTATTACGTTCGCTCAGCGCAAAGTGTAGTGCAACTCCTAGTGTTATACAGGCCTGAAGCAATCTTTGTTCTTTGCTGCAGGTCAAACTTTGTAGGCTGTTGCTGGGCAAGTTGGCTTTGTAGTTGCATGACTGGTTGACTGCTTCTACATGTGTGACTTAGTATAGTTTAGTTTGATGCCAAGAGCGGTGAGAAAGAGACAGGCGCGACAGCGATCTTCTTCTGCAACGCGGCAAAGGCAGAGCAGCAGACCCTGATTGATTTGGAGTATGCAAGATGGTCTAGTCTTCAGTCTGGACTGGTCTCTACCAGTGCCGTCCAAACTTGACGGTTGCCGGGGGTTCTTGCATGCCTGCAGTGTGCCCGCATGTGTTTCAAAGCGATTCAAGCGCTGACCAGGACTGAGAAAACATCGCGAAGTGCAGTGCGCAGTCCTTGGAGAACAGAGCACACTGAGACTGCCTGGCCACAAGCGAGTATTCAGACAGCGCTGGTGTGTTCCAGTGGATATGGGCGGTTGTCAAAATTGCGGCCCTTGTTTTGGACCGGCACAAATGACACCGCGGGTCCAGAAAGAGGCCCTTACAGAAAGAGGCCCTTATTGACAAACCAAAATGTCGGGGGATTGGAATTCTGAGCCCTTTCTTTGGCCAAGGTTCCGCAACATATTTCGCAGGCCAGTGCCCACAGGCTCCGGCAAGCGTGGCGTTCATTGAGAAAGGCTGAGACCGTTTTGGAGGAGTAGTCTACAGGAGCACACCGGGCACAGCTGCAATGCGTGCAATTGATTTGTCCATGTTTGCAACGTTAATCGTATCCGACAATCTACTCATACACAATGTCTGCGCAGCTGGGAACTTTTGCTCTGCTGTTCTAAGCGCAACTCCCTTTTTCCGTTCTAAACATGGTTGCGAGACCCCAGCATCCTTTAATCAATCGCAATAATTGAGGCTGCATGTTTGATTGATCTTCTGCAAGTGATTGAATCCATACATTGCCTGCAGGCAGCCAAACTTGAGAGCGACCTCGGCCAAGTCTCACCCACATGGCTCGGCTCAAATTGGCCGCGCAAAAAGGCGTGCTGCAGGCGGCATGCCTAGCTGTTTGGAATTCTCCAGTGGGTCGCTACGCGAGAACATGTCTCTGGGCACCTGCCGAAAGCACTGTGAACACCATTGTCCTCAGTCAGTGTACCCGGGCTCCATTGGCGAGTGCCGTTTTGGGGTAGGTGCAACTGCAAAGAGCCCAGCAGGAGGCCGACGAGAGGCAGGGCAAGCGGGCTCGAGTGACGTAGAGCCGCTGCCGCTTGCCAGGCGCCTGAGCCGGGAGTTGGAGGCAGAGCTGCTGGGAGCAACTCCGCAGCAGTGGGGGTGCCCTGGTGCCATGCGGCGCTACCTTGGCGTCCTGATCCACAATACCAGTGTAGACGAAGGTTGGTAGGGGACAGTCCCGAAGACAAATAGATGCAGCCTTTTGATTTGTTGCGTGGTTTTAGGAAGGCTTCTTGATTGCAACCCACCACCACTGCCACCACCAGCGCCGTCGCACCGATTGCGACTCTCCTGTCTCAAGCATGGGAAGGACTTTACAGGGTTTTGGATTTGGGAGGCTCTCCCCGCCCGAAGGTTGCTGAAGCTTTGCGAGGGCTTGTCAAGGCACGGAGTGCTGGTACTGTTCGCATTTAGTTTGCATTTCCGGAGTGCATTTCTGTGCCAGGCAGCAGGTGGAGAGGAGCAATTCATGATTTCAAGCTCATTGACTCACAGAGTTTCATTTGTTCTATCGGAATATCAGCTCGAGCTTTTGACAAAAAATGCTACACCATGCGCTCTCCGTTGGCTGCGACCTTCATAAGATCGGTTTTTCATGTCACAGGATTGCTTAGACGCATCCTGGAGATGTTGAGTAATATCATTTCTTTCACGTCCAGAGTGGCTAGGACTTGGTCTGCCCTCTCAGCACGGGTACTGGAGCTGGCCGACAGCTGGAGCCTGGCTGAGTACGCCTCCCCTTGGGCAGTTGAAGCATTGATTGCCATAACAGAGAGTGGCCCCAGCTTGGACGGAGCAGTCGATCGCACGTTCTTTCATGCACTTCTCTTGGCTCAGCTGGTGGGTCACCGGTCCGAACTCGGCAAAGCCGGCACGGAGCTGGGCCTATCACAGCGGTTGCGAATCTGAGCAAGTTACGCGCAAGTCTTTTCAGTCTGCCAGTCTTTTCGTATTCGGTTTTTGGTTTGACAAGGCAGAGTCCCAGGGCACCCCCAACTCCCAGCTTAAACTTAAGACCTGGTGGCAGATTGCACGACGTCTGTCGAACCATGGCCTCTTACACAGCGCGATCTTAGGAGTTGAGGTGGGGATTGGTTGGATCTCGGATGGACTCGCAAAAGAAGCCCTGTGCAGGTGATGAGAGGAGCGGCTTCCATTCACCCGGCACCTTCCACGGTCCGCTTCTCCACAAGCCAGGCGAGGGGGATTTGATACCCACCATTTTGATTTTTCTTGCTCTGCGCACCTGGCCTGGCGTGTCGGTGCCAAGGGATTCTGCAAACAGGCGGCTATTGCCTGTTGAGCTCCTTCTTTCAATATTTGTGACAATGCCATGCCGCTCACTCTTGTTGGAAACAGCATTCAGCACAAACACAAATAATGTAGTCTGAACTCGTTGAAGAAGAGTCCCCGCGGTCTGCCTATCCCGTACATCAGTCTCGCTTGTTCCTTGCTGCAGACATGGCCTTTGAATCTTGGCAGGTTCCGCCTGCTTCTTTCCAATCTGGGGGGAGACTCCGTGCACCATCCTAGCCATTCCGTGGCCATCCCCAATGAAGAAAGCATCCCCTGCTGCCATCAGAGCCATCCCCTTAGCCAACAGTCACGTGAAAGAACACAACATGGTCGGGCGCTGATACCTCCCGCATGGATTCAAGGGTTAGGGGTGCCTTTACGTAAGTGTTTGGTTTTTTTCACAGCAGCGCTAAGCATTTCGCGCTTCGTCTTTTCTTGGCTGGCGAGCTTGGTCGTTGTGGGCACTCCCGGGAAGCATAGTTTTGCTTCCCCGAAAACTAAGGTAAAGGCGCAAGGAAAACGCGCTCTTAGCACATTAATAGCTAATGTAACACTTAGAAAGGCGCAAGCCTAGAAACACCAACGCCAAACGACTGCTATCTACTGCAAGGATACAAGCCTACAACACCAGACTGTACCCGGCTTTCGAGACCTTGCAAAAGAGGCCACAGCAAACGTTGCCCGCAGCCAACCCCCGCTATCATGCAAGCCTTAGATCCAAACATAAGTCCACTTCTCCTCTAGTTTTCCAAAACTTGACATGCGGACGAAATGTATGTAACTCATTGGTGTTTTGAAGGCAATATTCCCGTGACGAACATCGAGTGAAGATTGACATGCTTACGAAGACAAAGCAAGATTAGAGTTTACTGATTCAGGGGGCTTGAGGCGTTGCTTCTCCATATTTCAGCGCCATCAGCTGACTTTAGCTGTCAGGCGAATTTTTCACGTCAGGGGGAAGTGGGTAAAGACGAGCATGTTGGCTTTGACTAAAGTACATTCCAATTTGCACTGATGGGTTTTTCGGGTTTTAGCAGTTTTCGGGTCTTGTGAGCGTTTCAGATTGTAGGGCTGGGGTTGAGGTTTCTTTAAAGGTTGCTTCTCCAGTTTTGAACGCTAGCCAGATAGGTGTCAGGTGAACTCAAGCGTTACTAGGCCATTCTGTGTTTGAAGTCTCACCTCTGAGCATTCGCTGGCTTTCAGGATTGTGCAACAGGGTCAGCTTGTTTTAGAGGTCATTTTGCGCGACTGGGTTCTTCAGTTCAGGACTCCCGCTTGGCACGTCCCTGCAAAATCAACAGCGCAAGGAAGGCGAAGGCCTGCCTAGGTCGACCGACGCAAGCTGTAAAAGCCCACTCAGTGCCTACGAGAAAGCAACTCGGGCCTGTGGATACCAGAGACACACGACAGCCCTCGTGCCGGACTCGCAGTGGGCTATCCGCCTCGTAGCGGGGGGGGGGGGAGGGAAGGATTTTCCGCATATCGTGTCAGCATGTATAGCACTGCCTTTGGTGCTAATCAGCCAAACAAACATAAGGACGCAAGCTGAACAAAGCACAATCTTACATCTACCAAGGCACAATTTCTGTAAAGGCGCACGCCCACCAAACCAGACCAGCACTTTGCAGACACATGGCGAACACTGCGCACTTCGTGAAGGGGCTTGCAGCCATCAAAGCGCACCAAAGCGTCCATTGCTGCCTTTGGATCTTGGAGAGTCAGAACGACTGACCTAGAGGCAGCAGGCGCCATCCATATTACCAGTGTATGTGTCTGCCAGCAAAATGAGCCGCAGGCATTGTGGGCTGAGGGCGCTCATCATGTGGCCAGAAGCAATGCCAATCCCGTTCGTTGGGTGCTCATTGAACACATGCCTTCGCATGTTGCGCGCATCTCTCAAAGCCAACAGCGTTTGTATGCATCGCCCGGCCAGCAACTATGTTTGTGTCCACGAGACGCGTATACCAATTTGGGCCGCATGTCGCTAGAAGCCCTTCCCGCACGCCTTCACACCGACAGCAAAGGTCGCCGGATATTTGCTTGGGATTTTCTGTGGCCTTGGCATCTAGAGTAGACATGGCATCCGTCCCCTGTTCGGATTTCTCACATGGCACATGCTGTGAGGGCCGCACTCCTACCAGCCCGAGAAAGCGGGGAAGGCGCCGTCTAAGAGGCTTAAGCCGATGCATATGCCCGATGCCCCGATAGCTGCTCACTTGCCTACGATGCAGGGAGCCCGAGCCAAAGCCTAAGCAGATCCAATGGCAGCAGATCTTCAATCGCATCAAGTCGGGGCCTTCAGCCTTTGATTCGTCAGTGCAGTGAATAGATGAATGATAAAGTGTGCGAAAGTGAACAGAAGCCCTCGCAATTTGAGAAGGCAGCATGCATGATCCTGCATGAGTCCAGGAGGCCTGAGCTTGATTTGTGGCTAAGGAAGTTCAAGCTGCGGGATCCGGAGAGGACAGACGGCCCAGCTGGCAAAGCCAGTCACACACAAACAAACAAGACAAACAGGAATAGACCAAGTTCAGAGGCAGAGAGTGTCTAACGTGGCAATTGAATTCTATAGACATATTGATGAGGACAAATTGTCATAGATACCACACCTTGTTCTAAAGAAAACTCGTTCACTAGAGATGGCCCCGACAATGTAGTGTCCCTAACAAACTCCAGTGGGATCAAGTCTCAAACAAGTCCCAGCTCGAAATCCAGCACAAAAGCCACGCAGCCTCAAAGTCCGTCGATCACAGATGCCTCACGTTGGGATCACCGCCAAAGCAGACGGCTTTCTCCCAAGCATTGAATGGCGCACTGGATTTGAGAATTTTGAGACTAGGTTGGCAGTCTGCCAATAGCCTCGTTTGTCACAAACAGATCCCACCGCACTGCATGTCTAGTGTAACAATTGTAACACAGAAATTTACAATGAGGCATTTCAGCCACAGGTTGGTTTGGACTGCGAGAGGCTCACGAAGCCAGATACAGTCTAGTCCTGTACAACCAAGGAGTAGGGCTTTATCATCGCAAGTTGTGACCATAGCACAGATGGTTCTCTGCGGGCTGTGAGGATGGCCTGGATTCGCATGAAGAGTCGGCGGCTCGCAAGCAGCTGGCGCTTCACGGTGCTTACTACCGTGGCTTGGCGAGTGAGTGCTTGGCTAAACCGGCGAAACCGGCGAAACCGGCTAGACCTTGAGATGCCAATTCCCATTCCGTAGGCCCTCACCATCTACGCTCTTTTCGGCGATGACTTTCGTCTTTGTGTCACTCACATGCAGACTGACGAGCTATTTAACGCGATCACCCTCGTGCCTTGGATGGCAAGCATTGGTTGAGCACTTTTGAGGGCTTGTGCTAGCGTTCAACAGTGAATGACTTGCTGAACTGCCTCGATTCGGTTGCAGACTGGCAGACGTGACCCCCTGTGCTCAGTTCGCCTGCCTGGTCTTTGGCGCGGAGATAGTTGCGAATAGTCTGGGCCGGGATCCATGGACTGGGGACGAGCGTTGATTAGCAAGTGACACAGCGCATTTATGGGGTTTGACAGCGATTCAGCCAGGAGTGAAACCCTGTTCGCATGTGCGGGCATATCTCTTTTTGCACTAAGTTGGACAAATCTCAGGTCAGGAAGAGTATTTTCTCGGCCCAGGGCTTAGCATGAGCTTTGAGAGTCTCTGAAGAACCTGCTTTTTGGCCAGGTTTTTTCTTTATTCTCGACATGGGTGCAACGGTCACGTTGGTCTTCGACCTGACGTGGGCCAGGGGCCCAGCAAGTTGTCAGGCCATGGCCGCTTGGAACTCGTTGGCCAGGTATCCAAGGAGCTGTTCTGCGCATCAGCAGAGGGAGAGGAGGCTTGATCTGTGACCTTGATGCAATTGCCAGTGAGCGGCACCAGGCTCTAAAAACCAGCCGTGCGGGCCGCGCTGGTGCGCGGGCAAGCCGTGCCTTGTCAGGGTTTCAATGCAGGAAGCCAGACCTGGGGGTATTTCATGGAGCTTGCACCCAGGAACTGTTCGAATTATTCGACTCATGCGTTTGGTGAAACTCTACAAGGCCGCGTACGGGTGAAGTGAAATTGTCCATGCCAGTGCAACCAGCCAGTCCGTGTCTTTGGCACTGGTGAGCTGTCACGCAGGCATATTGGGTCGCTATGGAGAAGCGGAAAGAGGAGGAGACCAGGAGCGCTTCGAGCGCTTCTTGACTTGCGGCATGGACTTTCCGACTGCGACTTTGTTCAGGAAGCAGCGTCTGCTTGAGCTGAAGCCCGGCGAAGTAGTCCCGGACCGGATCGGGGTGTCGGGGCAGGCCGCTTTTGGTTTGCCGCTGTGCCAAGAGGCCCAGAGGGGCTTGGGGAAGTATCCGCTTGGATTGAGGGTTGGCTTAGTTGGCTTCCTTATTGCAGGCCATTCGCCTTGCTCTCTGGGTCCCACCGGATGCTCAACTGGTTCAACTCCCCTTGTAAAGATCGCGGAAAGCATCAGCGTCATGGATACCCACAACCTTTCAGCAGTTCAGGCGTTCAGTCCGCATTGCCTTGCCACTAGCAGCAGTTCGCAATGCAGTGCCTTTTGTGTTCCACAAAAGGCTCGAAAGGCTGAAAATCCATGCGCGGCGCATTCCCCGGAATGCATCTCGATTGCTGGAGCCCTTGGATTCAGATTTCCAAGATCCCCCCCCCCCCTTGAGAAGCAAGCTTGCAGGGTGCATGTGAGCAACGGCGAATTTTGACTGGGTGTCGGCAAATTTCCAACTTTTAGCTTGCTGTATGCCACTAACTCTGCTGCAGTGGTTGCGCCAGTTGCGTCTGGCTATGAGGGAGGCTCTGCAGAGGGCAAGCATTTCCGAGGGCATGCTTGGGCTGCTTCTCAGCTGATCGCGGTCCGAGAGTGAATGTTCCTGTTTGCCGTGAAATGCGGGGAGAGTTTTGGTGGCGACGGTGCCATCGCATTTGCATTTGTAGGTTTGTGCTCAAGTTTGGTGGCTTAGAGTCTTTTGCGGCTACATCCGGCAAGCCTGTGCAGGAGCCATCAGAATCAACTTTGAAGAGTGAATTTCAGGCGGACGTGTGCAGTGTTTGACAGATCTGCCAAAGCAGAACCTGGCTGTGACATAGGTGCTGATTGGAGTGATGCAAAGACGGGCTACATAGTATGACTTGCAAATTCCGTACGCGAGGTCAAGCAGGAAGGTGAAGACGAGGACACATAGCGCAAGACTGACGCCGACCGTGGAAGACCATCAGTGCTGGGAGCCTTTTGTGATGTTCAAGCCTATTGTGGAGGACGATCTTGAAGATGAGAACAAGCAAGAGGATCAGGCACGGTGTCATGGAAGACGCTTTAGTCTTTGAGGCAATTCCCGGCATGTGCAAGCCTACAAGTTTCCCAGAGCTTTTGACATGTCCCCGGCCTGTCGAGTCACAGTACACGATAGGACGAGCCGAAGCAAGAAACTCGCGTGGGCAAGAAGCTGTCGGCTGGGAGCCAAGTGGTTCAGTGATAAGCGGTTGCATGGTGAGAGATGTGAGAGGCCACCACACACAGATGTATGGTGGACGGGCCCTGCCGCAAAAAGTCATATGATGGCAGCCAGAATGAAGATAGATAGATACGTGAGGGATGGAAGCTAAGATGGAAGGAAGAGCTCCCATCACTACCCTCATCGGGCCGGCATTCGCAAACGCTCTCCCTCAACAGCGATGCCGCGTGTGGATCCTCCAAGGACATGACCACCCGTCGCGTTATCATCCTGGTCCTAGCCGTGAGCCCAGCACCTCTTGAATTCAAATTCGCTTCCTGGTAAGAAAAGCACGAGGGGCATGGGGCCGAGGGGGGCAAGGTTCTGAGATCCGGCAGTTTGAATCTGAAGGCAATCATTCTGCGTTGTTGATGTTGCCAGCAACCCCTCTCACGTGTGCAGCTTCGCTTTGCTAGCATATCGCAGCACAGCACGCAGCTTGGTCAGCCAGTTTGACGCTGAGGTCATGCTGATTGTCCTGCCGCAATTCGAGCCATCAGGCAATGTTTTTATTTCTTCCTCTGATTTTCAGGAGAGGTTGCTTGTCGACATCTGGGCATTGTGAGTGACCATTCCTCATGTGCTGCTTGAATACCCCTATCTCAACATGGAATCCTGGAAGTAACACAAGTTTCCCAACCGTGTACCCGATTGTTTGGCTGCTTTCTGCTATCCGACAAAGAGATGGCCAACGTGTGAAACAATTTGCAAGTGTTATGCACTTGGGTCAGGTAGCTGAAGTCCCCAGGGTGCCCGTAAGGTTTGATATTCGTCCTCTCCAGGACTCCTCTAAGTTTGCCGCGAGCATGATCTACGAGAGGCAGCCTGTGATGCACACCCTACTTGGATTTCATTACATGGACTCACTCGCAGTCACTCACATGCGCTTGAAGCTATGAAGAGTGAAGTTGATGGAATCAACAGCGAGTGCAGGTGGCGAACCTGGTGTGGAGCTACCAACGCCACGGTCAAGTCAGGATCTGAAAAGCTTTGGCCCGAAGCATGAAGCTTCAAAGCCATGTAGTTGATCAAGCCGGTACAAATTTGAGCCCAAGATTGCCTTACAACACGATTGCTGTCATGTGACACAAGCATTGTTTTTCCCAGGCCGTGGTGCATGGTGTCGCTGCAGACGCCAGCTGTGGATCAAGAGCAACATTTTCGAGCCTTTGATGACATTGACCCAAACTGCAAACTCCCGCTGCACCCCTTTACAACTTGCCTGGTGCTGTGCATTCCTGCCCAACTTGCCAAGATAAGAGAATAGCGTGGCTCATATCTCTGAGGAAATCGATATGAATTGGAGGCGCGTCCAGATCAAATCGACCAGATCAAAGCGATCAGACTTGGATCCAGCATGTTTGAAAGTATGACAACTACAGCCTTGCCAATGGATAGTTTCCATGGAATCATCAAAATGCGGGATTGTTGCTAGGTGGGGTCTTGTCATTCTGTAGGGTTCAACGGAGTGCCCAAGAGTCCTGCGCGAGCGTTTGAGCATTTGAAGCTATGAGAAGCATGCCGTTGGTGATTTTTAGCAAGGAGGGTTCCGCACCTGTTTCAGCTTGCTGTCAACATGCAGTGAACGTGTCTGAACCAGAAAACCAATCTGTCGGATGTAAAATTTAAAGAGCCGGCCAGAGCAGAGCTGTGAGATTGAAAAGAAACACATATGTTTTTTCGAGGAAATCATGCTGATATGTTGACTTGCGCAAAGCACAAGTCCTTCGTACTCAAGTCAAATAATTACAGGGCCAGTCATGCATAGCCTTGCCATGACTGTCAGGTGGCCTTGCTGCAGTTTCTGCATGTCCACATCTCCAGTAGCTTCTTGTGGAAGCTTTACTGGATAGGCTCGCGTGCTATGGTTCGACTTGCATTGGTTCTGACTGATTTGGGTGTTGCACGCATTCTTCGCAAGCATCCTGGGAGTCTGTCAATTTTTTACGGCTGTAAGCCTAACTGGCACGGTACTGGCTGAGCAGCTCAGCAGACCCGGCAGGCACGGTGTCCAGGAGGTGGGCAGGTTCTGATTACCTGGGACAGTCTCTGGTCTGCAATATTTGCCGCAGAAGTGTCATGGGGCACCAATCGAGTTGATGCAAGCTGGACGTTTGCGCCAAAGCACTGGGAGGCCCTGGCCCGCAAATATGTATAATATATATATATATATACATGTATAAATACACAGATAGACGCCTCGATGAAGGATGAACTTTTGATGTCTCAGTTGCGACGGGGAGGAAGTCATGTGGCAGGGCACACGCTCGGTTTTGCACTCAGGCTATCGCCCTTCAATCAGGTTCGATGGCTGGGTGAGGCAGACCTCAGAAGAAAGGGCTTGTCGCAGCTGCAAATGTGGCTGAGTTTGCGCAAACTCGCAATATTCATTGGACAGAACTTTGTTTTGCCCACAGATATGACTCTGACGCTTTGATTTTTCTGCTGTGACGGGTGGACTGCCGCCATGGGTGCAGGACCTGCGGTTGGATCCCGACAATCTGAGCGCAGCCTGGCTGCATTGCTGGTTTCCGATCTCTGGAGCCCGTGCATCCTCAACGTGGAGCCAATCCAATTCGGAGAATCGTGCCTCAATGCGATGTCCACGCCATGTAGTTACCCCTGAAGCCTCCAAGTCACAGAGACGCACACACAGACACACACATCTCTCTCTCTATATATATGTACATGAATAGATAGAAAGGCTCATTGAGCTTTGGCATATGGAGTGGGCTTGGCAGGCATTCTTTTCACCACAGACAGGCTTTGCTTGGGTTCCCGTTAATGGAATCGAACAACGGGGATTGCTATCAATGGGTGATCCTTGGGCGATGAACACCACCGGAAACATCAGTCCCCTTCACATGCAAGTCGGTCTCAGGTAAAATTGTCACTCTCTCTTTACACACTCTCACAGAGGTGCAGCGAGCCTCATAGACTGGAAGAATAAGCTAGTTGTGCACGGGAGGATTGATGGATCCGAGGCCATTTGGGACTCCACCTATGTGCGCAACGACTTCTACCAGGGCACGGTGAAGATTTGCATGTTTGGCGCGAGTTTCTTCTGTTTGGTGTGGCCTGGTATGTGAACCAGGCCGTTTGGGAAACCAGAAAGGAAGCTAGCCATGGCTTGGAGGGAACGGGACCCCCAAGTTTCCGCAACATAAAATGACAGCATGAAACAGGATGTGGTTCTGGACAACCTCTGGCAGTGGGAGCTTCTGCCAGGTCGGTGCGCCTATCCCGGCAGCGACAAAGTCGAGGCAACAGCTCTTGAGTTCAAGCTGACTTTTGAAAGCAAGAACTTACAAAGGCTAAGGTCAAGCGAGCCACCTTGAACCATTTGCGCTCGGTGCTCTTTGCTTGTTTCATTGTGCCTCCTGTTCAGGCTGGTGAGCGATTGGCAAGAGGAGTGCCAGACAGCGGTGGGTGTCGTGGTCCAGCCCGCAGCGCCCCGAGTCGACTTCGAACGTCGAACCGCTTCGAACCGCTTCGAACCGCTTCGAATACTTTTGTTTGCCATATATATATATATATATATATATGTATGTATGTATGTATGCTAACGCCTCCCCCCCCCCCCGGCGGGACCCAGTTTGAACATGCAGAGCAGATTCTTCAGAGGCCTTTGGCATAGTGGTCAAGTATGTCCAGAAGAAAGGCCTGGAATGATGGCATCTTACTACGAGACGGGGGTGAGGACAGATGCTTCTCCCCAAAACGAATACGTACAACAGAACAATTGAAAACCAAAGTAAGAAAAAAGAGGAAAATAATCAGAGTCCTCCAGAAGAAGGGCCTAAGCAAGCAAAAGCAGAACAACAGCAGCAGAAGAAACACGGGGGCCTCCAGAAGAAGGGACCCAAAACAAACCAGAAAAGCTAGAAAACCAAAGAAAGAAACCAGGGTCCTCATGAAGAAGGTCAGAAAAAAACAAAACAACAAAAAACAGGCAAAACACTAAACAAAAGCAGCAAACACTGTAAACCAGGGTCCTCCAGAATTTGTCTCATAGACTTTTTTTTTCTCGGGCTTTCAATTGTTTTCATGGTTCTTCTGTTTTTACTGGTTTGGGGCCCTTCGTCCAGAAGTGATAAAACCGGGTGAAAACAAAATGGTAAAACAAACATGTAACACATATACATATACATGTGTATATATATATATATACACACATGTAGGGTCTCCCCCCCAGACCCCCTTTCAACCGACAAAAGCCAAAAACAACAGGAGAAACAAAGAAAAAAGCGAGAGGAAACAACAGAGTCTTCTGTAAGAGCCAAACAACCGTTCGAGGAAGCTCGGGCCATGGCCTCCAACGGCTGCTCCATCACTGCAGAGCTACGGTGTTCAGAGGCGAGGGATCTGCGAGCTACGAGTCATGACGAGTCAGTACGAGTCATGAAAAATGGCGACGAGGTCTGTGGCCTTTGACAGTTCAGTGTGCTGGATGTCTGAGTGGATCTCGCAACAGCTCGGAGTCAACCCCTCCCCACGTGTCGCTTGCTTGCAGGTGGAGTATGTCACGCCTCTCACCTACAGTGCGGAGGAGCCTTGCTGTCGATGCAAATGTGGTCAACGTGAAGCCAACTTGCCTCTTTCGAAGGAGAGTGAGAGCTTCTCCTTCATCTTTGCCTTCGACCGAAGAGGATACACGCAACTAGAGGTGCCCCAGAGTCTTCACAACTCCCGAACTATGATGACTGGGTGGCAATCGCGTGATGAAATGGATGGATTTGGGTCGCGAGAGAAGATTCGCTTGGCACCAGCAAGATGTTGATTGCGATGGCACGGATTTGAGAAGGTTCATTCTTCCGCATGGGAATAGCACTGTTGAATCGGCACGCATCGCCTGGCCGTGCAGCCAATGCAGGCTGGCCTCAGCATTCTGCAGACCCTCTTCATTTGCTTTGCCGTGGGTGTGGGCGCCATGACCTTCTCGAAGGCATGCGAAGCGATGCGATCAACTTGACGCGGGGGCAGTTCGAAAGTTGCAATTGGACGGTTTGTGGAAGGGGCCGAAGAGTTGCCCACGCGCAGGATGCAAACGAGTTGCTTCTCAATCCAATTGTGCCCACCTCAGATAAAAGCTGCTCGGACCCAGCGGATCATTGCCAATTGACAACAAATCTTCGCCACTTGGCGACCTGCGCAAGGAAAGGATGATCGAGAAGATGGAAACCATCAAGGATAATCCTTTGGAGGCTGCGTGACCAACCGTTTGGGGGTGCCCATCGCTTGTACGAGGGCTTACGCAGAGTGTTGGGACGAACTGAGGCCCCATGTCCGCCAGTCACCAACCCACAAAACGGTATTGCATTGCATTCGAATAACCGCACTCCATTGCCAATTGCTTCGTGCTCTCGGTGGCCTTCCTGCAAGGCGATGCGCCTGGGAGACTTGGAGTTCCGCCGGGAGGAGGTGGAAGAGGCGTGCACAGGGGATGCAAGCCCTGGGTTTGGGGTGTTTCTGGGTTGGCACTTTGGTGGGGAGTCGTTCAAGAGCTCCCGTCATGTGGACATTGGGGCCTCCATGTCAGCAAACTGAACGTCCGAATCTTCCAGAGCGAGCCGCTTAGACCTCGAGGCACGCTTCCGCGAGAAGCTGGCGCAGATGAGTCGGCCCTGGCAGGTGCCGACAAGTGTCACTAGTTTCGGGCCGGGGTGTTGGCGATTTGCGAGGCACTCACTGGCATGCCCCTTGCAGAAAGGAATGCAAACACGACACTTATGAGAAGTTGAGGCAGCCATCAGTTGCCTAGCTTCTGACGTTTGGTCATCGTTGGCAGTTGCGACTAGTGCTTGGTTGCTTGCTTCCTGCCTGACAAACGATGATGTTTGGCAGCCTCGCGAGCTGTCGTTACAGCTTTCTGACCCGGTCTGAGCAACCCGTCGCCAGCTGCTCTACAAATACCGCCATGCCAAGAAGTACAAGGCGGGGAAAGCGAGGATTCCAACATGTTCTTCCCAAGTGTAATCTGCAGGAGCCGATGGAGACTGTGATGCTTGAAAAGACCATCATCAAGTCCTGGGCCCATCCGGGAGTGAGTACACGGTTGGTCTCAGAGCTCCAGGAAAGACAACTCTGGCCCCGATCTTTTTCGCATAGCACCAAATCCGACCTATTTAATATTATTTCTTTGAACTTTGGAGGTAGGCTGAATTCTTGAAAACGGCGCAAACGCGAGAACGGCGCAAACGTCGTGTTGCGGCACGGAGCACAGAGCAAGGCTGGGCGGCTTGCTGGCCCTGGGCTTCGGCGAGGCTGGCGCAGAGGTGATCGGCCAGAACATGAAGGCGGGGCACGCGGACGCCTCTTGGCCACTTGGGGGCCTTTGGGATGGTTTGCGGAATGCACAGCTTCAACGCAGAGGTGAAGTCAGGTTTGGGGACGGCTTGCGATCAGAGAGACAGAGTGGAGAGGACCTGGGTGAGAACTGGTGCCAGGTGAGTGCCACAGCTGGGGTCAATGCCATGGTCCCCGGCTCCAAGGCTGGGCTTTGTTGCTGCGCTTCCTGTTGGCCCAAATTCAGCAAGGCCTCCCGATATTCATGGGGTTGTAGAAAGGTCTACCCGGCCATGTGTTTTTTGCCGGGGAGCACTCCAAGGATGTTCGGTGGACATCAATCCCGATGTAAATTGATGTTTACCAAGTGCAAGCCTTTGCGACCATCTTGCTACCCAAAGTTGATAGGGGTTCCCGATGTAAATTGATGTTTACCGAGTGCAAGCCTTTGCGACCATCTTGCTACCCAAAGTCCATAGGGGTTGGGCATTGCCATGTCCAGGTAGATGCCATCATCGGCTTCTGCAACATCCGACACTTCACACATGCCACAGAGGCGTGGCAATGGCTGGTTTCACATCATTCCGCCGAGTGAGAACTACTCTCAGACCACAGACTGGCACTTCGTGCTCAGGTGTTAAAGGAGAAAGTTATGCTCTTTGCACGGCCCCTGGTTGGGATGGGCATGCATAGCACGTCGGAGAGTTGGATTGCCTTGCAACCTTGCCTTGCAATGCCCACTGTGATGTACTCAGGTAAACCAGGTCGGAGAGATAGTTCACGGTTGCGGGCTTCTCAGAAATGAAAGGCTTGCAGAGGGGCTCGCCTTCGCAGCCATTCCTTAGACACTTCTCTTGACATGCAGAGTAACCCATACACATCAGACAGGTTGCTCTGTCATAGTGGCGTGGAGCACTCTAGCTCAGGCGTGGACGACTTCCATGGAGCCCCGAACCGGAACATCGGAGATGCCTTCCTGGTGATTTGGCGCCTGTCAGGACTGCGCTGCGTTTTTGCCGGGAACAAACATGACTTTCACTTTTGCCAACGAGGCACATTGCTGGATGTGACTTGAGATTTCCGCCAGGCAGCCATCCAGAGAAGCAGACCAAGTTGGCAGACATGGCTCTCATGTCGTATGCTGGGATCTGAGGCTTTGCAGGTGACATCTCTGCACATGATGCCCTTCATTTGTCACCGGAGAGGGTAGCAAATGTGAAGCAATGGGATGCCTTGGGAGCATCTGAACGGACTGAAGGCTTTGCTACCCTGTTCAAACAACAAACGTGCACATGAAGGCTGCCACGCACTAACAGCATCACGTTGAGGTGAAGATCATTGCAGAAATCAACAAGCTGGATGCTCGGAGTGAAGTTGAATTTGTCTCCTTTTTCATTCCCAGATGCAGTATTGCAGAGTAGCTTTTGTAGGTCAAGGGTTCTGGCGGCATACCGGTGGCATCCGGGCTTTCAGTACCGCATCAAGGAGCGCGGAGCAATGCGATATGCCGCAAGGGCCAGGGCTCCCAAGGCCGTTGGCCCGCAGGACTTTCACGTGGACTTGGGCTTCGGCCTTCACTGCGGCTGGGCAATTGAGGCGCATCCCTAAGCCCCATGGTTAGCGCAGAAAGCCAGCCGTGCCTCTGGTTGCAGCTTGCAAACGTCACCACATCCTGTTTGCCAGGGAGCCATCGGAAGCGAATACAAGATTGATGCCTCATATCTCTCGCCGAACGTCAGCGTCGCAGCCAAGCTGGAGGCAGGAATAACGCTCCATATCGACAAGACGTCAGCTTTCACCGCCAGAAATCAGCGGGGGTTGGGCAGAACACGAATCAACATCCCATGGACAGGCGGCCACTTCGCAGTTCAAGGTCTGGATGCTGCTGTCTCACAGCATGGTCGCTTGGGCTGAACTTCCCACTTGACAGCTCGAGCCAGTGCGGCATGCGGCATGTGGCAACAGCAACCGGGTTTCATGATGCGGCACTGTTCATGAACTTGCTCCCGAGGTAAACATGTGCAGCCATGAGGCTGTGGGCAATCTGTGGTTCATCAAGTGTGTAGCCTTGAAGTGGCAAGAGAGCATGATAAGGGCAAGTTCTTTGAGCCAGCCTGCCTCTTTCAATCAGACTGCTTGTGCGATTTGTTCTCAACCCCTTCCAACCTTTGGGCCAGGTGGCACTAAGCTGCCGCCTCATTGACCAAGTCACGGTGAGTGGCTCTCGCATTCCAATGCGCATCTACACGATGGACCTGGACACCCGGAGGATTGGGAAAGACATGCTGACTTCCTCAACCAAGTTGAACCCGAGCACAGCCATGGTGCGAAAGCGTTTCTGTTTCTGCTGTTGCTGCAGCTTCCTGAACTTCTGATTTGCCAGCACTGTCCCTTGTCGCCTCTCATGTTTCTCAGGATTGCAGTGGAGGAGAAAGGGCCGGACAGACTCATCAGGCGCGCGACGCGCTTTTGCGGTTCACTGCACGCAGCCCGCCATTTGTTGAGACCCACACACACGCACAGGAAAGCCAAACAACAGATCAGTTTGGGACTGCGGTTTCATGAGAGCGTTCTTCCCCTTCGAGACCCATGTGACAATCTCATGCCTGGTTTCGGTGTGTTTGAGCCTCGTCCTGGCCAAGCCAGTCACGCAGGAACCGGTTCAAGATCCGTCAGCTGAGAGAGGTGCGCAAAGGAGAGAAGATGGCAGAGGACACGGAGCCTGCGTTGGTTCTAGGGACATCACCCTGCCACTTCAGCTGTTCTGAACTTCATGTAGAGCTGCCTTGCCTACTTGACCTGCTTGAAACAGCGAACCATGTGACATGGACAAAGCTTTCTTCCATGGAAGGACTACAGAGTGTGGGATGCGATGATGAACAACCCTGCAAGAGCCCTAAGCTAGACTGACTCATCCGAGCTGAAGATGGATCACAGCGGTGCTCCTGTATAGGAGCATGTGCGTGTTTGTGTGTGTGTGTGTGCGCGCTTGTCTGTGTGTGTGTGTGTGTGTGTGTCTGTGTGGGCGTGTTCTTTGTTTGGGTGGCTCATTGCGACAATCAATCAATGGGCTGGCCCGTTTGAATGCTCAGGATGTGAGGCAAATGCGCTCACTCTTCTCCGAAGAATTCTTCCAGCGTTTTGCCATGGCCTATCGTAATTATGAGGCCTGCTCTTGCCGGAAGTTGACTCCGCTTTACCATGCTGCACAATTGGTGGACTTGCCTGTACATGTTTTTAACGTTATTGAGATGCACAGGCATGAAGCTTCAGACGTGACCACAGGTTGTTTTGCTTGTCCAGGCTGGTGAATGGCTGGCTGCAAGGGACATGCTACTTGGCTGATTTTCACGGGCTTTCTACAACCAAGTTTTCGAGGCTCAACTCTTGGAGCACCCGAGGCTTTCCATTTGCTTTCCATTGGGCTGAGGCTTTTCACGTGCCACTATCAACCTCGAGCTGACGTTGGCCGGCGACTTGTTGCCTCCGAGGCTGGCACATGAAAGCTCCAAGTTGTGAAGTCGTCAAGCCGTGAAGCCGTGAAGGGCTCGGGGGTCTGTTGGGGGCAGGCAGATTGGCCGGAAGACGGTCCCAGCGCGGCTTGGCTCAGAAAGCATCAAGTATCCCCGTCTCTCTATGGCATAGAGGATTCCAAAAAGAGACAAATGAAGGTAATGAAATGCAGCTGGCACGGCAGGCTCTTTTGGCAGTTGTTTGTAGTTTTTCAAGTGGGAAGCCTCAGGTGACCTTGTTGAAGTTCATGCAGCAGCGGGATTTCGTTGCCCCGAGTGACTGGCTGGGTTTCAGATGCTGAGCTGCATTGGAAGCTGCAAGCGACTTGAGAGGCTTCCGAAACATTTGGCACACCCGACTTTTGCGCCGTGGCTAAAGCATCTAAACGAAGTGTGCCAACCGCAGTAGAGCCCTGGGACGACTTGTGCCCAGGAGAGCTGCCGGAGAAGTAGCCTGGAAGCCCTGGACGGACTGCGAGCATTGCAACGCTGCATGTCAATCCTTGCCACCGAGTGCTGCAAGACCTTGCCTGATGTCACTTGTTTAGTGCTTCCCGAGCTCATTTCCAGGCAACTTGAGCGGTTGAGGCTGTTTCAGCTGGTTGCGATTGAGTGGACAACTCCTTCTTTTGTGCTTGGCGCTTGTGACCTTTGCATGAAGAAGCGTGGAATCGGATCTCAGCTTTTCTCAAGCACGCGCAGTGATGGACAACCAACATGTTTTGTCTATGGACCGGGGTGATGAGGGCCCTCCGCCAGAGCCTCAGCTGCATGCCTCAGCCGCCAGAGCCATCTTGCTCACCAAGGATAAGTGCCCACTTCAGCCTGCCTTCGGAGGCTGTCAGCGACTATGCGCAGACAGTGAAATCTGCCAAATCTGGCAAGAAGCCCTTGGGCGTGGCTGGTCAATTCATCAGGGCGTCCACTCGGACGCATGAGGACCTGCCTTGTGCATGCTCTGATCGATTGGGTGCGACCTTCACTTGTTTGGGCTTTGGCACTTGGACACTCCCCAGCGTTTTCTTCGACAAAATTGGCATGATCAGAAAGTCGGAAAGCGCACACACACGGCCAACAGCAGTTCCTCTCTCGGCCAGGAGAATGTGCATTCATTTGTGGGGCAAGTTCGAAGTTCCGTTGTGGCTGTAGTGATTCTCATTTGCACAAGTCTGCACTTGTGCAGCTTCAACAGTCAAGCTCTGCATGACTGTCGCATAGGTGTGCTAGTTGTGTGTGCTCCAAGGGAAAGTGCCTTTGTGGCGAACACAATGGCAGCGATTGTGCTGGTGGATGCTTTCTGCACCTGTGTCGACGTGGACTTCCGCGCTGCAAAAGAGAACACACCCGAGGCAGAGCTGCTATGGTTTAGACAATCATGACGTGCATGCTATGGATGCTGATGCTGCTGATGTTGTTGCTTTGTCCAAGTTGCCATCAGCGCATGCCAATTGTAAACGCTTCGCGCTGCTCGCCTTGGCCAGTATTCTTTTGGTTGGAGTTGAACTGCTGTATTTTGGTTTGCCTTGAAGTGTTGTGCTTGTTGAGCAAGCGAGTCGGCACCGAAATGCGCGAGCTGGTTTCCAAGATATATAATGGGTGCATGTTGAAGCGTTTCATGGCCCCAAGCCGAGAAGGGTGGAACTACCGCCCGGGCGCGAGCTACAGCCGCTCACACGGGAAGATCCCGATGATCTAAGAGGGGATTTGACTGTTTCTAGGCCCTGTGGACCGAGGCGAATGCCGCGTCTGGTTAATGGTTGCGATTGCTGGAATCCTTTTTGTCTACTGCGTGACCAAACGGGGAGTTGGGCGACGCTGTGATAGAGTCATCCGTTTGGCGTGGAAGACTCATCGTGGATTGTTTAAAGTCTGTAGCGTCAATATTGGTTTGTTGGTCTGAAAGTCGCGTATTCGAGCTGCAGACGACATTGCCTACATGCTCCCTTTACTTGCCCCGTTTAATCGGACCGCTGGCTCGTTGCAGACCCCTTCTGCAAACGATGTACGACTACTAACTATGACTGCTAGTACTGCTGCTACTGCGACTACTGCTACTACCACACCACTAGAACAACTACTACAACAACAGCAACTACAACTACACCAGCGGCAACTACTACGACTACTACTACCACTTCCACTACCACTACGACTACGACTACTATGGCTACTACTGCTACTGCTACTGCTACTGCTACCACTACCACTACCACTACCACTACTGCTACTACTACTACTACTACTACTACTACTACTACTACTACTACTACTACTGGCACCAGTACCAGTATTAGTTCTTCTTGATATAAAGACATCCTTTATTGTACTAGTACTGGTTATTCTCTTGCTATTGATATTTTAGCTAGCACTTTTGCTACCAGTGCTTCTTCTATATATCACTGCTGCCACTACAGCCTCTGGCAGGTTCGTGCCAGAGGCTCAAGCAGGCCCGGTTTTTGGACTCACCCTGCTGCTGCCCTGGCCCAGCAACTGGAACTGCTCTTTGGCCGGCTTGGCAGTGCAGGTTTGTTCCTGACCAGTGCCTCACTCTTTGCCTTTGCCTGTTTGCCAAAGTGGTAGTTCGGTTGCAGCTTCAATGAGTGTTGCACGTTGCAGGTTACAACATGCTGCGACGCCTCCCTTGCCTGCCTTTCTAGTTTGCCACATATGTGTTATTTTGGTTTGCTAGCTCCATATCTGACAGGTTTTGAGGTGCAACAAGAGTCCTCGTGTGCCAATCCCCCACACCCATATTGCTGCATATTGCTCGGATCTCGCGCATTGGGCAAAGGAAGCCGTGGGGCCCTGACAGGTCTACAGAATACTCTCGAACCTTTGCTTGATTCTGTACACCGTTGAGCTGATGTTTTTGCTCTGTTTGTGCCTTGGAAGCGTCGCAGTTGTCATGGCATCCATTGTCGCAGCTCTGGATGTAGCCATTGTAGCCCTAGATCCAACCCAAGGGCCCAGGCATTTCTTGAGAGAGTGCATCTTGGTGATTCGCCTGCCGGCTCATACTCTGAGGCATGGGATAAAGACTCTCACAGACAAGTTTGTTGCTATCGATGCCATCATCATCGTGTCTGGCTGGTTAGAGCTTACTGTGGCATTGCTTGCTATAGGCAGGTTGCATGCAAGCATTGTGGGAAATCACAGGGAGGGACGAACTGAGCGTGGAAACAACGTACAAAGTTCACTTGAGCAGCGAAGGAAATGCTTCATACAAAGCAGGGACAAAGCAGGGTTCAATGCGGTTTGCTAGGTATAAGTCTTTTGTTTGTTTGGCCTTCCCTCCGGGCTGGATTAGCGGCACTCGTCTCATTGTCAGTTACAGTTGTCAGTATGTTTTCTTTTAATCTTCCCGTAGGCTCCGCGTAGGCGCAGGCATTGGCGAGGCACTGAGGGACGTCCCACATGTTGCTTTTTTTCAAAGCCCCGTGCTTCGCAGTTTGAAGGCGGCACGCTTCAGACAAGTTGCCATGTTCGAGATGGAGCCCAGGTGGAGCTGCCAAAGTGTGCTGCGTATGATACACTTAGTTGCGATTCTCGAGCTGACAGTGTAGCCTATAGAACAACGCTGCTGAAAAGTTAGGCACTTGCGAGCGAAGGAGTCTGCGTAGGCACCCGCAAGGTGACATGGGCTCGTGAGCACCATTTGCAGGGGCGTAGGCTGGCTTGCCGCAACAGTTGCTTTTGTTGAGCGGGATATCTTGTCAATAGTCTAGGAGCCGCGCATTTTGATGTCTAGCACCAAATTCACCACCAGATGCCACCATTCATCAACTTGAACTTGGCGGCATCAATATGCAACATGAAAGAAGTGCTTTGCATGACAACCTTTGTCGTGCCCAGTTCAAGGATCCAGTTATCTCCAATTACTCCGACCCAAGTTGGGTGTTGATTCGAGTGAGCATACCCTGCAGGGGACTTCCACGGCGCTGTGCTCCTACGATTGTTGAGACTGGCACGAATCATTCGACTGGTGCGGCTCTTGAGGAAAACCCGAGGCTTCAAGGAGCTACAAAAGTTGGCCCGAGGCCCCAGAATTGAGGCGCGTGCAAGATCGCCTCGATGCATGTTCACTGTGGCAAGTCGGCTTGACATGCTCATCCAAACATGTTGCTACAGGCTCTTTTCAAGCTGCAAGTACACGTGCCGAGGAATGACAGTTTTACCCCGTCTTAGGGTTTGGGATGAGCACGATCTCTTGGACGGAACACCAGCTCTTCTTATTTGCTTGTTTGTGCTTTGGTCCGAGCGAAAGCCCGATGCTAGTTGCATATTGAAATCGCTACGCGATCCGCCGACGCCAGTGGGGCGCAAGGGATTTTAAGACCGTTTTTCTTTTTTCAGGGAAGTCTTGCTTAATGACAGCAGATGACAGAAGGTCTGAATTTGCCAGTTTACAGACATTTCCCTATAAACAAAATGCTGGAAATGCAAGGGCGCAAAATTGACCAAACACAGAAATACCAGAGATGCCGGGAATGCAGGGAATGCAGCCGGCTGGCCACAAAAAAGTCCACAAACCAGGATTTTTCAAAATCAACAATCAAAAGCCGGTACTAGCAACCCCCCTCAAATACCCTAGAAATAGACTTCCAAAAACACGATAATGCAGGGGATGTTTCGCAGTAACTGCTCCGTACAAGTGGGGAATTGCAAATTCAAACAGTTCCTCAACGTATCACTGCACTTGGCCCCACCCAGACCCCTAACAGGCCGATTCAACATCGCTTGAAACAGCAAAACACCATTAGTATCTGTAAAAAGAAGAGACAAAATAGCAGCAAGGTAATCCTGATGATGCTGGGGATGCAGATCCTGCGCGTCTGGGGGAACCCCCCCCCCTAGAGACCTAGGCGAAACGCAGATTTTTAGCACGCAAGCCCCAAAAACACTGGAAACTTACAGGGTTTTGGACACCCAGCACACCATGCCCAAAAAATGGCAGCCCCAAAAGCCTTCGGCTTTGATAAGAGATCCGAAGGAAGACCAAGTTGCGGACTGCCATCTACACGCTCGACTGGCGTCGACGGATTGGATGCTGTCAGCTCGAGATTGGTCCCACGAGCATGCAGATCTATTTGCTGCGCCAAGTCCGAACTTGACAACTGCAATGCACGTAAAGCATTTCATGCGGCCAAGCGACACCTGAAACTGATCTTGACCCACTATCATCATTTGTCTTCGGGTGAATTGTCCCGACAAGGTGTGTCGGTATCTCTGCCTGATTGCAATTTGTCACGTTCGCGTCCATCCATTCACATCGGATCCGTTTGTGCTTGACATGCTCCTGATGGCGAAGGGGGGCGGTCGAAGTGCTGCCCCGGCGAGCCTGCACGTCATGCTGCAACGCGAGTCTTCAGGGAGCACATGTCAGGGTTGCCTGATGTTCATTTGGGAGCCGATCCTTGAGCCTGAAGTCTTTTTGCATTGGTTCATGTGCTTTTGTCATTGGAGAGTTCGTGGGATGGAGCATTTTTGGCAGATAGTCAGACTCGTTGTTACGCGAGCTTCCAACACGCACGAATGGATGCTTTGATGCGTTAACTATGGCCACGGGTTGCTGTTGTCTGGAAGCTGCTCGGAAATTCTTCCGAAAGATAGCGAAGGGTTTTTCCGGTAGAAACGTCCAAAAGATTGTGAAGAGGAATGTTGCAGAGACAATGCGCAGAGATGGGTGTAGAAGAATGTAAAGCAAATATATTGTGTTGAGATTGCAGCGAAAAAAACGGCGAAGAGAGACCGAGAGAGCTGCGCCAAAGTTTGCCAGGGGATTGGTCAATTGTTTTTGGTGAGTTTGTCACCAGCTGATTGCAATACGCTGGGTGTCTAGGGAGCAATGTGGGGCGTGTCGGGCTGGAAGCTCCAAACTGCGAGCTGCAGAAAGCCATCAGGCATTTCTGGCCAGATGCAGTCTCGGGCATTGACGTGCGTGTCCGGAAGCTCCCACGTTTTTGCCGAAAGCATAGCGAATGGATTTTTCCAGTAGAATCCCATGAGAGATTTCACAGGGGGATATCACCAAAACATCGCCCGAGAGATTGCACCGAGAGGTGTTAATCAGAGAGAGATTGCACGTGCAGAGACACTTGCATCCAGAACTTGGCGCAACCAAACCACATAGAAAAACTTGCATGGAGAACCTGCACAGTGACAGACAAACTCGCATAAACAAACTCGCATAGAGAGACTTGCATCGATAGCTTGCACATACAAACTTGTGTAGATTAACTTGAGAACTTGCTCAGAGAAACTTGCGCACGGACACTACCATGCAGGTCTTGCACAGAAAAGCTTGCAGACAAAACTTGCGCAGCGGCCACTTTTAAAGAGAACCTACACGATGCTGCAGAGAGAGCTTGCGACCCACTTGCATAGAAACACAGAGCCTGCATGCACATCTTATGGATAACTTGCGCAGAGAGCCTGGTGCAGAGGAAGCATGTTTTTTTGGCGCGCGTACTCTTGTGGACTATGCTTTCGGGGCCCGTCGTCTTGTTTGGTCAGAATGCAGCAAGACTCGGCCAAGGTCACCATGGGCGCCACGTGCATGAAAGCTCTTGCCTGGTCCTTCCTCTTTTGCTTCATCATCATGACAATATGGAGCATGTTGATGGTGGAGTTCGTTTACCCATGCATCGAACAGATGCAACAGGAGTCAGGCATTTTTGACGACTGCGAGTACTGTAGGAAGGCAACTTCCTCCGTCATGCACGCGAACCTATTGCTCTTTAAGACAGTCATTGCTGGAGATGGCTGGGGGCACATTGCTGTGCCCGTGCTGGAAGCATATCCACTGACAGGTTTCATTTTTATAGGATCCTTGCTGACGCTGGTCTTCGGAGTCCTGAATCTCATAGTTGCAGCCCCTCAGCTCGAGATGATCAATTTACCAAGGTGCTGGACTCGTGCTTGTCTCTTTGTAACAAGACTACATGATCGGTTCTGCAACTGACTTGTGTGAGGGCTTCAGGCATGCAGGCGGCATGCATGTTCCAACTTTGTTGCCAGCTCAGGTCGTTGTTGACACATTTGCAGAATTCCGTGCCCGGGATGTCATGAAGTTGGCAGAGGAGATGGATGAGAATTTTGAGACCGACAGAAAGTTTCTACAGAAGGTGTTCAATCGCGTCTTGGCCCGTTTGTTTTTCCAGTCATGGGTTTGCCATCGAAGGCGCTTGACACTGTGACAGAGCGATGGCCAATTCTTAATCCGCTGAGGCATGGACAAGGAAGGCAAAGGCGAGCTGACCTTGGACGAACTTGTCGAGGCCTGCAGGTTCTTGGCAACACGTGCATTCAATGAATGGAATGTCTTGACCCAGGGTGCTCGGCTAGATCCTGAGTTTCAAAGCAGACTGCGAGTCATGGACATTGATGAGCTGGATTTGCAGCAGCTGTGTCTTGGCTGCATGTGCAGACGGTAGGTTGATGGGTTGACTGGTTGACATATTGACACATTAACAGGTATGGGTTGGCCATTTTGAAGCAGCTACTTCCAGGTAGTAAGCTGTGGGGCTTGATCCTGTTGTTGGCAAAACTGGGTGCCCCAAATGCATAGATTTTGCACAGAACTTGCTTGCGGCCTGGCTGGTGGCTTGCACATTTCTATTCTTTCTCGTGCGGTTATTTCTGGCTGGGCTTTGTGCTTCCTAGATTTACAATGATCGATGCAGACGGCTCTGGTGCCATTGAGCCTGATGAATTCATCGGTCCTTTGAGCCGCTGGGTTCACGACTCCAAGACGGCTCCACGGTTTATCAAGTACAACATGATGCAGTCTCTGTGCCTTGGCAAGAGCCTTGCAGCCTTACAGCTGAACCATTTGATGGTCAAGATGGTTTACTGCAAATCTGGCCACCAGTCCGGCAAACAACGGAAAGCGCCTGCCACGGCATGCGATGGCTTTTCATTGTTTTCCCTTGCTTTCCCTTGCCTTCCTTCGCTTGACCTTGCTTTTTCCCTTGCGTTGCCTTGCTTTCCCTTGCTTTCCCTTTCCGTTGCTTTCCCATTTCCTTGCTTTCCCTTGCTGTCCCTTGCTTTCATTTGCTTTGCCTTGCTTTGCCTTGCTTTGCCCGTGCTTTAGCTTGCTTTGCCTTGCTGTCCCTTGCTTTCCCTTGTTTTCGCTTGCTTTCCCTTGCTGTCCCTTGCTTTGCCCGTGCTTTTGCTTGCTTTGCCTTGCTGCCCCTTGCTTTACCTTGTTTTCCCTTGTTTTCCCTTGCTTCCCTTGCCTTGCTGTCCCTTGCTTTCCCTTGTTTTCCCTTGTTTTCCCTTGTGTTCCCTTGCTGTCCCTTGCTTTCCTTTGCTTTGCCTTTCTGTGCACAGCTTGCTTTGCCTTGCTGTCTTGCTGTCTCTTGCTTTCCCTTGCTTTGCCTTGCTTTGCCCGTGCTTTTGCTTGCTTTGCCTTGCTGTCCCTTCCTTTCCCTTGTGTTCCTTTGCTTTGCGTTGCTTTGCCCATGCTTTTGCTTTCTTTGCCCTGCTATCCCTTGCTTTCACTTGTGTTCCCTTCACTTGCTTTCCCTTGCTTTCCCTTGCCTTCCTTTGCTTTGCCTTGCTTTGCCCGTGCTTTTGCTTGCTTTGCCTTGCTCTCCCTTGTTTTCCCTTGCTTTCCCTTGCCTTCCCTGGCTGTCCCTTGCTTTCGTTTGCGTGTCCCTTTTCCCTTTCTTTCCCTTGCTTTGCCCGTGCTTGTGCTTGCTTTGCCTTGCTCTCCCTTGTTTTCCCTTGCTTTCCCTTGCTGTCCCTTGCTTTCCTTTGCTTGTCTTTGCTTTCCCTTGCTTTCCCTTTCCCTTGCTGTCCCTTGTGTTCCTTTGCTTTGCCTTGCTTTGCCCGTGCTTTTGCTTGCTTTGCCTTGCTCTCCCTTGTTTTCCATTGCTTTTGCTTGCCTTCCCATGCTTCCCTTTGATTGTCCTTGCTTTCCCTTTCCCTTGCTTTCCCTTGCTGTCCCTTTCTTTCCCTTGGTTTCCCTTGCTTTCCCTTGCTGTCCCTTGCGGTCCTTTGCTTTCCTTTGCTTGTCCTTGCTTTCCTTTGCGTTGCCTTGCTTTCCATTGCTTTCCCTTTCCCTTGCTTTCCCCTGATTTCCCTTGCAGTCCCTTGCTTGCTGTCCCTTGCTTTCCTTTGCTTTGCCTTGCTTTGCCTGTGCTTTCGCTTGCTTTGCCTTGCTGTCCCTTGCTTTCCCTTGTGTTTCCCTTGCTTTCCCTTGCTTTTTTGTTGCTGTCCCTTGCTGTCCCTTGCTTTCCTTTGCTTTGACTTGTTTTGCTCGTGCTGTTGCTTGCTTTCCCTTGCTGTCCATTGCTGTCCCTTGCTTTGCCTTGCTTTCCCTTGCCTGGCTTGCTTTCCCCTACTTTCGCTTCCTTTGCCCTTGCTTTCCCTTGGTTTGCCTTGCTTTGCCTTGCTCCTTGCTGTCCCTTGCCAGCTTGACCCAAGTCAGAGCAAACCAACAACTGCACAACCCTCCTGCACTGAATCACATACAAGCAACAACCCAAACCAGCGCCCGTACTTACACACCCCGTGTCGTCTCCCTGGGACCTGCAAACCAGCCTTGCGGTGGCAGAAAGTGCTCCAAAAAATACTCCCAAAAAATGGGAGTATTTTTCCTGCGACATCCCCAGCATCGCCGACCACCACAAAAACTTCCAAAACAAGCGACATCCCTGGCATCCCCGGCATCCCCTGCATCCCCGGCACCCCTTGTGCGCCCAAGTCTGGCGAGGCCGGAAGCAAAGTAAAATGATGTAAAACTGGCACGCTTTTTGGCCCGCGAGAGCCACAGACGAAAAGGTCAGACATGATAGGCAACGTCGACGAAAAAGCGCGAAAAACACAGGGGAAAACACCAAAAACCAGCCTTGCGGTGGCAGAAAACACTCCCATTTTTTGGGAGTATTTTTCGGCTGACCAGACCTGCAAATCACCCGGAACGAGGTTACCCCCCCGCCCCACACCCCCCCCCCCCCCACAACTTCGTACACTAACTCCCAGCACTTCAAGAAGCGCTTTCTGTCAACCTCATGTTTACTTGCAATTCCCTGTTCTGATATGTTGACTGTGCCCACCGTCAAAGTCTGTCAGATCTCTGATGCCCACTGGAATGCCCACCTTGCAGTCTGGAGGGCTTGGTTTCAGCAAGCGCCCAGCTGCTCAGAGGATGCTTTTCGGCCTGGTACAAACTGATCTCTATCAAACACTTGGCAAGTCGCTTCTTTGAATGCCGGACTGCTTTGGTGGGATCGCATAGCAAGTTTTGTCGCACCACACGCACCAGCAGGC